TTTGTTTCAAATGGTCTGATATTGTTGGAATAGTAACGTCAAACCTTGCTGCTGGTTCATGCCAGGTTAAGGTGGATTCACTTCCACTATAGCTTTCAGTTCATCATTATCCATCTTGCTCTCAGCTCGCCCACGTGGCTCATCTTCATGATTAAAATCAACAGAACAGGACTTCTTAAACCATCAACATACCATGTGTTCATTAGTCACATCCTTCCCAAACACTTTATTGATACTGAGCTGTCTGCGCAGCATTGGTTCCATAATAGAAGTCATATTTGAAAATAACGCACGTTTTTTTTACTTATATCCATGGTTTCACAAAAATTGTTCTAAAAAAATAATTGAAAGATAATCACAATCCAAACCTTGTGTTTGAAAAAATGACAGTGTACCTTCACAATTAAAATAAGAACTGTCAAAGTGAAATGTCAGAGATAGCAACTGTCAAACTTAGTACTTAAGGAAATCGGACATTTCATACTTAATAACCTAATAGCATACTGGGTCTTTACTACATGCTTTCTTACTTAAAGATTTTTACATTCTCCCTCAGAAATGTCTTTCAGATTTTACTTCTTCTCTGCATACCTCCCATTGCTCAACCTAAAAGCCTAATTGATCTCATCTTCTACCATTTTAAACATTCATTTATTCAATAAAAATATATGGAGTTCCCATATATTTTTTTAATTTTATTTTCATGGAGCGCCCGTATATTTTTTATTTTATTTTGCCCAATAAAAATATATGGAGTGCCCACTCTATGCCAGGTGCTATATTAGATACTAAACATACATCGAAGGATAGAAGGAATGAGATTCTGAATCATATGCAATTAATTACATCCTATTTGGGGGAGCCCAACAATTAACCGTGAGCCAAATTATTGTATATATTAAGAGGAATTATAAAAGAAGTAAAATAGCATGACAGTGATGATCAGGTGCAGGCTAGCTGGAGTGGTCAGGAAGGATTCCCTGAGAAGTAGATATTTTAGCTGAAGCCTTACGTGTGAAAGAGAGCCAGTCTTTCAAACAATTGGAAAAGGCAGAGGAAATAATAATAATGATGATGATAACGGGTAACATTTACTGAGTTTTTGCCATGTGCCAGTTACAGTTGTAAGAGCTTTGCATGTGTTAACTCTTTTAATCCTGACAACAAATCCTATAGGGCAGATATTTTCAATTATTGCCATTTTATAGGTGAGCAAACTGAGGCACAGAGATGTTGGATAATTTAGTAGGTCATATAGCCTCCAGGATTTAGTGTGAAATGAGATTAGAGGGAGAGATAGGACTTTATTTGCCAAAGTGAGAATTTTGAATTTAATTCTAAACAGCATTAAAGCCATTCAAGGGTCCCATAGAGCTGATGTGGGCTGATTAGCACAGGGAATGTTAGAAGAGCCAGATGGGGACAGGAAGCACAATGATGTTACGATGGACCAGGTGAGAAATGTCGGGGGCCTGTACAATGGACAAATGTTGGTAGCTATGGAGATGGAGTGATATGAATGGAAGTAGCATTTAGTTTGTAGATAAAAACAAGTTTTGGTGATTAAGAAAGTAAAAGGGAAAGAGAGGATAAAGGAAAACTATTTCTCAACTCACAACACTTATGACACCCCCTATGGGTTTTCCGCACCAAGCAATTCTCTAATTCTCTTCAGACACCAACTAGGTGTCCTAGGCTTTAATTCAGTTCTGACACTAACTACCTGAAGTTAGTGTAGACCCCAAAGGTTAAGAGCTCAGTCCCACAAGACTACCCCTACTTCAGACGTCAGTCAAAAGTAGTGGGTCTCCAGGCTGGGTGTGGTAGCTAATGCCTGTAATTCTAGCACTTCGGGAGGCCGAGGCAGGAGGATCGCTTGAAGTGAGAGGTTCGAGACCAGCTTGGACCCTATCTCTTCAAAAAATTAGCTGGGCATAGTGTGTGCTTCTGTAGTCCTAGCTCCTGGGGAGGCTGAGACAGGAGGATCTCTTGAGCCCGAGAGTTTGAGGTTATAATGAGCTATGATGACACCACTGCACTGTAGCCCAGGCAACAGAGCAAGACCTTGTCTCAAAAAAAAGTAAAGACTTCAGGAAAAAGAATAGCTTTATTAGCTATGGAGCAAAAGTAGATTAGGAAGGTGTGATTTCTAAAGATTCATTATTAAATTCGTACTACTGATGGTAATCATAATGACATCAATAAACATCACCTGGTATTGAACAGTCACTGCATGCTAGATACTACTCTAAGTATGCATGCCATTCATAAACTAATACACAAATTAGGACATCAGAATTTCTCGTTTTAACGCTCTCTGGACAAAGTACTTATCCTTTTTTCAATTTTAGAATTTATAGTCTTTTTGAGGGTAAAGAGCCCCAAAGCTTAAATTTCTTATATTTCCTGGAATGCTTAGCATTTTTGCTCTCCACTAAATACCAAATAAATAAATATTTGTTTATTTGATTGAGTAATGATATCTGTTGCATATGCAAAAATCTCAGTTACTTTTCAAATAAAGAATTTCTAATTCTAACCATGGCCCCCATCCTAAATTATCTTTCTGAATTAGCTTAGCAAATTTGGGGGTAGTTTGGGAAAAACATAAAGTAAGTAAAATTTGTGGTGCCACTGTCTTTCCATGGCGTACTAAGGCAGTTTTCAGTTGGTAATGCTTTCTTTGGTTCTTGGAAGCTGCTTGTAGATTAGGCCACATGCATGAAAGATGATGGCATGTGCTGGTAATGCTCAAATTAAAACCAGGGTTTGCTTTTTTGGAGGGTTGCCTCAGCATCCATAGCCATTATGTGGCTCGTTATCTTTTATGTTCTTGTTAAATAGCTAATGATTTGTTTGTATGGTTAACGGGAGAAGACAGAGTCCATGGCCAAAAAACGTCTGAGAATATTGGTGTAAATTACTTCGGGATTTCTCAAAGCCTGCAATGCACTAATGTGTCCAGTGAATCACCAGTAGCATTTAGGGTTTCCCATAGCTGGCCATAGAACCTTCTTGCTCCTCATAACATTTGACATCTTTCGAATCTTTCATAGAACACAGTTTGGAAAAACTATGGTATTTAGGTTGTGAAGATGCAGAAGAAGGCAAACCTACTATTTTCCAATAATTGTTATGGGAAAGCAAAAGCAAACGTTTTGTGGGGCAATGTCTGTTAAGGTTAAAACAAAAAATCCCGTAAAGACACTTGTTTGCTTTTAATGTTAGATCAGTTGGGTCTGAGCAAATAAGCAGAAGGTCTTAATTTAATAAAGAATAGTGCTGTATATCACAGTTTCATTGTTGAAGTGTTCACCCTCCTTCAGCCCAAGACAGGAAGTCTCTAAATTCTCTGGTCTCCACATTTTACAAATGGCATTGAGGACCATCTCACGGTTCCATCACACATATCCCACCTTGCAGGCAAACTAGACCTGTTGCCATTTGCTGAATCTATGCATGCTTTCTGCAGTCTTCCTTTTGTTCTTCCTCTTTCCTTTGTCTAGAATATCCACCCATTCATCTCCCCATGTTGGAATTAAACCATTTGTTCATTTGATATGGATTTATTTAGATCGACTGACTCTATGCAAGGAATAAATTATTCTTATATTTTAATAGAAATATTCTCATAGACTATTTTCCTTTTCCTTTGGTTAGACTTAAACCCTACCTGCTTTTAACTACCTTAGAATATTTCACATCCCACAGAATGGTTTCCTTGCCTGTATGATGTACTTTAACTGTGTGCTTGTCCCCTACCTCTTGCTAGAGTAAGTGTATTACAGGCAAGAGCTGTGCCTTAGTCATGGTAACACTGGTAGAGCCTATCCTAGCTTCAGGTCCCTATTTGGTACTCAAGAATCTGTCAAGTTGAATAGACTGCACAGGTACCCCTACGGATAGGAATAATATACCCTGGTTCTCAGCCTCCACTAACCACACATGCTTGCTTTTGATTCCTCAGGTATTCTACCTCTACTGACAGATAAGATTTTCCAGGCAGCACCCAACCAGACTCTCCTGCAGAATGGGCTTGCTTTAGAACAAGCCTCGTGTATAGTCAAAGGTCGACATGGCCAGACACCCTGTGTTCCACTTTGACCCACTCATTCCCAATATAGTCAGAAAGCAAACGTGAAAGGGAGAAATGAGTTGACTTAATTAAACTGACAATGTTGTTGCCTTTTATTAATCAAATGATTTCAAAACCAAATTGAAAGCTGAGTTGTTTTAAGTAATTTTCAAAATGTAAACATTTTATTTAGAATACCATGAACTAAACCGTCTAATTTGACTGAAAAGTCCTGACTGTTCTTTGGATGGTACAAAGATTGACCCCTAACCCTTTTTCAGGTGTCTTCAGCATACATTTGAGATGAAGTATGCACATCACATTAGGAAGGTTTGATGCACCTGTGTTTAGAGGGCATGCTCCCCATACCAGCTGAGATACACATGCCCCACTGTACCTTTCCTGATGTTCTTTTTCAGCATTCTGAAATGAATGATTAAAAACAAAAACAAAAACAAATCAGCAGGTAAAAGGTAGAAGAAGAAAGCCAGGTGTCTTCTCATATCGTTTTCTATGTGCTTTTGATGCCAATCTTTTATTGCTTTTCCTTTAAGTAGAAACAGAATTTGGACAAGAAAGAATGAGAGGGTGAAACTTGAACACCTTCCTGACAGGGACCACCTTAGTCATCTGATAGCCAGAGGACTGTGAGAACTGAAGTTGAATACTGATCCATCACTTTATAGTAATCAACTTTGGCTTACTTTTTCATGCCATGCATTTTATATCATCAAGAGGAAATTGATAAAGAAAAAGAGGCAATAGATGACTAAACTTGGTGTGCAAAAAGTAATCTTAATAGTAACACTGCCAGCTGTCAGAGGCCATATGTAACCTATGTTGATGAGCTTACGTGAAATCACTTTCTGGCCTGTTTAATCCATCTTTCTTTCCCCCACATTAAAAAAAGAAATTCTTTTTACAGGCAAAGATAGGATTAAAGTATCTGAAGATGAACTGGAGAAACTCCTTCTAATCAAATGGTGTATTTTGGAAACCATTCGTTTAAGAGCCCCTGGTGTCATTTCTAGAAAAGTGATGAAGCCAGTTAAAATTTTGGTAAGCTTTGGTTTTGTTTGAAAATAATCAACCTTCTAGGGAAAAAAGTACATATTTTGCTTATGTATTTTTTTGATTGGCATATTATTGGTTTTATTTACAACTAATTTTTTAGTTGACAAATAAAAATTGTGAATTTTTGTTTTGTACAACAGGCTGTTTTGAAATATGCATACATTGTGGAATGACTAATCTAGCTAATTAACAGATGCATTATCTCACTTATTGTTTTAGTGGTAAGAACACTTAAAGTCTACTCTCAGCGATTTTCAAGAATACAATACGTTGTTATTAACAGTAGTCACCATGTTGTACAATAGATCTCTTGACTTATTTCCCCTAACTGAAATTTTGTATCCTTTGACCAACATCTCCCCAATTACCATCCCCCTACCCTCAGCCCCTGGTAACTGCCATTCCTACTCTCTACTTCTATGAGTTCAGCTTTTTTAGATTCCATATATAAGCGAGATTATATAATATTTATCTTTCTGTGCCTGGCTTACTTCTTTTAATATAATGGTCTCTGGGTTCATCCATGTTGTTGCAAATGATAAGATTTCCTTTGTTATTTTAAAGAATGAATTGTACTTTATAATGTATATATACACCACATTTTCTTTATCCATTCATTTATTGATGGACACTGAGGTTGATTCCGCACCTTGGCTATTGTGAATAATGCTGCAGTGAACATGGGAAGGCAGATATCTTTTTGACATTTCATTTTCTTTGGATATGTATTCACTGGTGGGATTCTCATTTTTTGAGGAACCTTCCACACTGTTTTCCATATGGCTGTACTAATTTACATTTCCAACAACGCACAAGGGTTTTTTTTTTCTACCCATCTTCAACATTTGTTATCTTTTTTTGTCTTTTTGATAATAGCCATTCTACCAGGTGTGAGGTGATAGCTTTTAATGGTTTTAATTTGAATTTCCCTGATGATAAGTGATGTTGAGCGTGTTTTTTATAGACCCGTTGGCTATTTGTATGTCTTCTTTTGAGAAATGTTTATTCAGATCCTTTGCCTATTTTTTGATAAGTTTTTTTCTCACTATTGAGTCGTTCAAGTTCCTTATATATTTTGCTTATTAATTCTTTATTAGAGGCATGGTTTGCAAATATGTTCTCCCATTAGGTTGTCTCTTCACTCTGTTGATTGTTTCTTTTGCTATGCAAAAGCTTTTTAGTTTTTTGTTATCCCCTTTGTTTATTTTTGTGCTTGTTGCCTGTGCTTTTGGGTTAATATCCAAAAAATTCTTGCCCAAACCAATGTCATGGAGCTATTCCCTTACATTTTCTTCTAGTAATCTTACAGTTTCAGATTTTACTTTTAATTATCTAATTCATTTTGCATTGATTTTTGTATATGGTGTGACGTAGGGGTCTAATTTTATTCTTCTGCATGTGGATATCCAGTTTTCCTAGCACCATTTATTGAAGAGACTGTCCTTTCGTCATTGCATGTTTTTGGCACTTTTGTCAAAAATTAATTGACTATAAATGTGTGGATTTATTTCTGGGCTCTCTACTCTGTTGGTTTATGTGTGTTTTTATACCAGTGACATGATGTTTTGATTACTATAGCTTTGTAGTATATTTTGAAGTCAGATAGTGTAATGCCTCCAGCTTTGTTCTTTTTGCTCAAGATTGGGATCTTTTGTGGATCCATATAAATTTTAAGATTGTTTTTTCTATTTCTATGAAAAATGTCATTGGAATTTTGATAGCATATTTGGTTATATAATTCCTCAAATTCCATTAATCACTGAGTGACCTGGAACAAGTTACTAATAAGGGTTGTCTATTCCCCAGTTATAGCTTTCAAGAAATTTAAAAAAAAGAAAAAAAAAGAGTTGTATAACAACATTTCATGAGTATAGATATTTATCTGTTGGCAGCTATTTTAGCTAAAATATAACCTTTTAATAATCACTTTGACCATGTGATCCCATACCATAATTAGTTTATTCCTATTTAAATCAAGCAGATGGATTGAATGGTCTCTTGTCTGTTGATTCAATCAGTAGTTACTCCTGAGTAGCAATGAGCTGAGGCATTCAGGACGTGAAGAAAGTTATTTTGGATAGCTGGAAGACAATTTTGCACCACAGATTAGAGATATGGAAACAGATATCAGGAATGTCATGGAAAATCCCAGCTTATATTAAGTGTCAGCAGTCCCTGAGTGAAGGAGAAAGGTCCTTTCTATGGACAAAGTAGGAAAAAATTCTCATGTGCACATGGCAGACTTTCAGTTAAATGTGAATTAATCTGACAGAAGAAATTATTTTTTTTTTTCAGAATGATTTGATTTAGGGCCTGCATTATCCAGATAGATCACATTTAGTCAGTCCTCCACTCTTGTTTGCTTTTTTTTTAATAACAGCTTGAGAGTGCTGTGTATAAAAACCAAGGAGATTTTGTAGTAGTAGAACACAATTAAAAATCCAAATTTTGTAAAAGTTGCAACTTTTGCCTTTAAAGGAGACATAGTTTGTTTAATTGCACTTACATATATTATGGCATTTAGTTTTTGTAGTATTTTAACAGATTTTCCTTTAAATAATCAAATTATTAATTTTAAGATACAAATATTAAGCAATAGCTTTAGGAGGAAATAGTCAAAACAACTTGGTGCAATTAAGTAGAGCGATATGTTTATACTCTGAATATTACTATAATTTTTATTAAACTTTTATGAAGCCCCTTTTTATTCTGGTTAGCAATTAGAAGAATTATAGCATCATCATTTATCTGTCAGTGGTTATCTTGATTATTATTTTAATCATACAGATCCTATACATGTTTTGTTTGATTTTATACCTACATATTATATTCTTTTCGGAGCTTTTAGAAATGGTATTTTTTTAACGTTTTGCTTTTCAATTGTATATTACTTGTTCATAAAAATACAATTGATTTTTTTTTTTTTTTTTTTTTTTTTT